AAAAAAAAAAAAAAAAAAATTAAAAAAATATAGCCTATGTTACTAGGTGATAGCGTAGCTTTTTAATGGTGCAATAATTTTGGAAATCGGTCCAGTCATTTTTGAGTTATTCTAATGCAAACAAAAATACAAATATTTCCTCTTTATGATATTAGTATAGATATTGTCTTCAAAAAGTTTTAACGGATCTCGATCAAATTCGACACAGATTTTAAGAATAGTCTGGAAGAAAAATCGGCTATGAAGTCGCCTGCAAATGCTAGTTGTGGTTAAAAGTAATATGTTATTGAATTTTCGTGTTGATAATTTACGGTCGCGATAAACGTCTCCTCGGCTTTCACTCATTAGGAATATGGAGAACACATGTTTATTCCCCTGCGGAGTTTCGTGATCCAAACAATAAAACTATAAGGCGATATCTTCATTCACAGATTAAAAACTTTTATTGTAATCAAGTTTCAATTACTATTCAGTGAGTTTCTATGGGCCCTGTTTATATGACCTTCTGGCTTACACGTGATTATTTCATGAAAAGTGATGTTTGTATAATTATAGTTGGATTAATAGCAGTTGGTACTAATTTGCATAATATTAAAATCGCATAAAGTAAAATGCCTTTTCCCAATATCTATTTCTATCTAGAAAAAGACTGACATTGGCAGATATTAAATTTTTCAATAATTTGTTTTAACAGAAGTATCGTTCGAAAGATCAGTATACCCGTTGGAGGTGGCGATATTTGAGACCTACAATCCTGGTGCGTTAGTTCGTATCTGGGCATTGGGTAATGGCGATTGGTTTCTACTGTGGGAAGGAGAGCCAGGGTATGCCGGCGACAAACCAAGAATATTCAGTCCGCCTATAAAACAAATTAATTTTCCGACAAGGTTAGTGTATACTTTGACGTGCTTAATGTTTAGTGGTTGGTTTAGTTAGGAAAACTACACTAAGGGGATTCTTTAGTGATCAATCAACGATTCTGATTGCCGCAGTTACAGATGTTTTGTATTAATTTGCAGAATAGTAATCGATTATGGAAATTAATTACAAATAATGACATGTGACGTCACCTTTTTATTTTTTTAAGGATTCTCCGTTTGGAGTTCAACCATTGTCTCCTACCATATTACACGGAGTTAGACGCGGTTTTGCTTCGAGGGAAAGAACCAGCTAACGAGAGCAAGATTAAGAACAACTTTGCCTACTCCAGTTTGTTTTATAAGAAAACTCAACCACCAGCTCACAATGGTAAGTTCTTTTTTTATGCAGTTATTTCGTTTGTCTATGAATTGGTCTGTCATTTAATTTAAAAGTCGCTATAAATGTGTCTTAGATTAAGGGCCTGTCCCATCACTGGCTGATAGAAGCCCAGATAGCTTAAAAATTACGTCACTGTCAGATAAGGGAACAAAATCCGATATTATAAATTTTGTAGTATGTTATCAGACAATTTATAATTTTGTGGGATAGGCCCTTAGTATTATTTAGATTTAGAGTCTATTTTTTTTAATATAAAACTTGAATATCTGTCTATTTTATGTTGCTTTGAAATGCAACTTTTATTTTGATATCGTATTGCATTTTAATCCATTAAACGAGACTTACGTGTCTTAAAACTGGTTGCAGATGATTTTCCTAATTTATTTACCATAGTCATTAATTTACATGCATAAATTACTCTCCCTTGCTTTATGGTCTTTGTACAATTAAAGAACGCATTCGTTGCATAATTTTGTACATATAAAGAATTTTTAACTGTGGCAACATTACAAAGGGAAGTTAGCGCGCTCTAGATGGCCATAGTAAAACATCGTAACTGCTTTTGAATACGTTTAAACGTTTCTTATTAACTTTTTAGCAGGGACCACCTGCGGTTACCGTTTACTAAATATTTAAAATGATACCTTTTAATTCTGGTTTGATTAAAGTGCTAATTAGTGTATCTGGCTATTACATTCGCTGGCTAAAAGGTCTTGCGGTTGTGTTGAAACAGGCAATATATAACCGTGGGCTTTCACTGGCATAATGTACTATAGACGTTTAATCTATACTTCTATTCTAATATAATAAAGCGTAAACACACACTACTTCGTGACGTAGGATGTCAGCAATCACAGCATGTTTTTGAATAATTCTTTCTTTCATAGAAAGCCTTACACTTACGACACCCTTTAGGGTATATATTATCACGCTATTAAACTTAGGGGGTAAATAAATTGGAAAAAAACTTCCATGTGGGAAAGGGACCATAAACGACAAGCTGCCAACGTCAAGCAAGCAAAGCTATTATAGTAACAGTAATTTTGACATTTGCAATTGAGAATTTGACAAATGTGAATAATAAAGTAAAGTTTTTATATTTTCATGCGAATGAAGCCGCACGGGAACAGCTAGTTAAATAAATATAGGTCATGTCGTCAGTGCCACCTATGCTTCTTTCGATACCTTAGCCCAGCAGTATCAAGAATTTATTTCTCAAAACATTTTGCAACCGAAGCTTGAAATTAGCTTAATCTGTAATAGCTAAGCTCTAACTTTTAGCTTAGCTATTACAGATAGCTTTAATATATTTTATCTCACGTGTTTCCTACAGCCGCTTAAATGATAAATTGCAATAATTATTTGTAACCTTCGTTAGGGACAATAAAACGATTCGATTGTAAATTTGTTTAATTATCAACGCTATTATCTAGTGCTTTATTGCTTAATAGGATATTAAAATCATAATAATCGCATAATTAGTTCAGGATGTTATTAAAAGTGTAGCAAGTTTCTGCGTAATTAAGCTATTTTAATATTTCGAAGCTAGGAAGAGAAACAAAGGAACGTTTAACTGTCATAGGCAGACCATTTACGTAAACCATTTTACACCCATAGTTGCTTTGTAGGGTAACAATTGTTTGACTGTCACTCCCATAGTCAGTAAATGCTTAAACTAGTCACTAATTGTATAGTCGTGGAAATGCGAAATGAACCAAATTAGGAAAAATTACCTTGTTTTTTCAACGAGACAAACTCCGTCTCTTCCTTCAAATAACTTAGCAGTGAGTGCAAACGAAGGGATAATAATCAAAAGACTAGCTGTGTATCACTAACCGACTTTATGTACAGAGTTATATGCTGCGTTGTATTTTTTTTTGTCTCGTTTCAATATGTTCAAATGATTATAGTTTTTAAGGTAGAACGTCAGTTTCCCAACTGTACATTTGCGAAAACTAAGTGACCCTTTTGTGCTTATTTCACGATTGTTTGTGGCTGTCAAAATGGATACATCATATTAGTAGTGGTATATAGTATTTTAAACATCTACTTTACTTAAATATTTAGGGCCTGTTGTACCACTGGCTGATAGAGGTTCAGATAGCTTAAAAGTGAGCACTCTATCTGACATTTTATCACATGATATACGTTGGACTTAATCTGATAATTTTGAGAATTGTGGGACAGGCCCTTGTTCTTTTTTTTCTGAATTATACGTTTGATAAATTTCTCAAGAAATATTTTGATTACAACAGTAGGTAAATGTTATTTAACACCAGTAACTAAATGTATTGAAATTTGATTTAGGTCTACTCAATAAAGTTATGGCTTCGAATCTCCACGAGAAAGTAGGTCCACCGATGTTGGTGTCGCAGGAGGAGTTACTGATTGACACGGGACCTCCGCTCGGTGACTTCCAAAGGTTACCGGTAAGTCTTTATTTTGACTTTTTTAAATTTCCATTGACGCTCATCACCAGCTCATTATAAGTCCCCACTGAAGGGTTCGGATCCCACCCTAAGTTAGGATCACTCCTAATCACTTAGGTCAACTTGCCTACTACGGTTTGATTGACTTTTCAAATATCTTTGAATTTCTTTGCCGATATGTGCTGGTTGCATCACTGTTTTTCTTTCGCCGTAAGAACGTCGAATAAATTATGTACATATGACATTCGAGAATCGAAAATCACATAAATGGCGCGATTCGAACACAGGACCTGTAGATAACAAATCATGCGTTTAAACCCCTAAGCCGCCGATTATTTCCGCTGAAGTTTATTGCTACGAAAACCAGTGATATGTGTTCTTCTTTTCTCTAAGAATTTTACTATAATATTTATTTTTCCCAAGTTGTTCAAGTCACGTTTTTTTTTCTTCAATTTTTATAATCAAAATAATTCAACTCAGTCCGAAAATATTCAGTGTTCTAATTCAGCGAACGAACGGAAAAAACCAGTGGAAAATTTTCAAACACGCGTTCGGAAAGCGTGATATAGTCAAATGATTTTGAAGCTTATTCTGTTTGATGTTAGAATTCACTTTGATATTAAAAGTTTTTAAGCAAAGGTAAACGCAAGCAGGATGTGAAATATCCAAGACACGTGAGTCGGTATTGTATAAATTTGATTTGTGGGGTCACTTTGAGAATTTTAACATATAACACGTGAAATCTTTCGGAGGCATAAATGTTTGGATTTCGTTCCTTATGATTGCAGCAAAGGATTGATTAAAATATTTTTCCATTTTCATTCAATATGACTTGGATGCTTTCAAAAGTTGATTGAATAGGAAACTATAGAGATTGAGATCAAGTAATAGTAATTTCTAGAAAATAAAAGGCTTTTTTAACACATTACATACTTATAAAAGCTATAAACGAATGTATATATAATTTTTAGTTGTCGTATAGATCATTGGTTCCCAAACGTTGTTTACTCATAATATTGATTTTAGAGGACCTCTATTTTATGTGTTTGGGGAGCGGAGACATGAACATCTTAATGGTTTTTATATTTAATAAATTTGGTGGCACACAGTGGTAGTGCCCGGTTTAACATCTTAGCACTGCAGGGCCCACGCGCCCGGTGTAATACCACGACCATACAGAAGACAGGCGTGAAATGGAAGAACTTCCGTGTTTCGTCTGATGAGTGTGGTGCCGGAGGCCTAATTTAAGTCCCTTACCCTTTACCATCCTTTTCTTATAAGGACAGGATGGGAAGAGGAAGTGGATTTGACGGTGGAGGAGATGCATAGGAAGGGGAAATGTCCTTTTTATGTGCGTCTCCTCCTCCGTCGGATAAGGGTAGGCAACGCATCTGCAATTGCAAATGTCTATGGGCAGCGGTCGCCTCGCCATTTTAGCGTATTTAGGTGCCTTGTTGCTTGTTTGCCACCTTATGTTATAAAAAAAAACACGAGTGCACATAAGGACGAGACGCATAGAAAAGGAGTTAACTTAATCGTGGACCCCTAATTTTGTGTGAAAGAGTTTAATTTGAGCATTACTGGTGTATGTTGGCATAAACATTTTAAGGTCAACATTTTTATCATGCAGTTAGCGTGTCTGTCATGTAACAATACATTGCGTCTTAAACAATGCTAAAACAATTAAAAACTCACAAGCTCTATGCATATTATGTACATACGAGCTGTCGCCTGCGACTCCGGCCGTGTGAAATTAATAAAAAACAATAGTGAGTACCCTATATGTTATTCCAGACTATCCTCTATATCTATACCAAATTTCATCGAAGTTCAGCTTTTTAAGATACAAACTCTAACAAATATCTATCTAAAATTTCACATTTATAATATTAGTAAGATTAGTAAGATTGCGATTTTCGTTATTTTCAAATCTCATTGCACATAAGTTAAATACACAAGAAAACTTGTTCTGAATTAATCTAAAAGCGAAATGAAAGTAACATTTAAACCTAAACATACAAGGTTTTTCGAGTTTAATGCTCAATTTGTTTTAGTATGTTCGTTAGCGCAGCGAAAACCTACGTTTAAGATAGAACGCATTACTATCGTTAGTTCCAATCTTTATCACATCACTGTCGATAAGTATTTATATCCTTATCTTATGTTTGTTTTGTACGCGACGTTTATCGGACACGTAACATCCCTGACCTAGCGTCTGGCAAACCGAGATAGAGGATCGCATGCTGGCATTAATTATCGATTTGTTATTACCCGTTACTACAGATGCGTTTCACAATACCTGTATCGGAATTTTCCGTTAGCTTGAAATACAACGCTATACGGATTTATACAGATCAAAGGAGCTAAGCGAGAATTACTAAGACGTGTACAGACTGATGTAGATACTATTGCCGGTTGGCGCCACATATCTGCTAATTAAAATCTTAATATTATAAATGCAAGAGTTGAGATGGATTTATGTTAGAGTTTGTAGCCTAAAAACTGCTGAACGGATCTCTATGAAAATTGGCATAGATGTAGAGGATAGTCTGGAAGAACGCATAAGCTACTTTTTTTTTAATTCCATGCGCACGGAGTTACAGGGAAAGCTGGTTTAACATAAACCTGTTCCAAATTCAAAGATATGTGTGAAGTCAACCGAAATGGACCAGCGTTGTTGACTATGACCTTGTCGTCTCTACGGGGTAGGCTCTGAGCCCCTTAGTGTACGTATAGCCAGCTGGTGATAATGATGATAAGCTTGTTAACGCCCCCTCCTCAAAGGTTGGTAAAAAAGGGGCGCCAGTATAGGAGAAAACCAGTATTGGTAAATTAAAAGTATGATTTGCTAAAAAAATGTGATGAGATTTGAAATCCGTGACCATATTGAGGAATTATTTCTATTTTGGTTTGTAAGCTTTTTGCGTTTTAATAAACATTTCTATATTTTAACCGTTAGCTGTTTGTTATTCTCGAATTATAGCTATTTGTCTTTTTTATGTGTGGAAAAAAACTAGGAAAAATATTGTGATATTAAATATTTTAATGTGCAATTTCTTTTGTCAGCAATTTCGTATTTACGTTTAGGGTTTTTTCCGATGGTATCAAATTTATTCGTTGCGTGTATAATGTTTGTCGGATTGCGCTTTTTTCCTAATTTTCCATTAATTATGCTGATAATGAAATCGAAATTCTAGTGACGTAGGTAAATTTATTTTTAGATATTCATTTATTTTAATCTAGTAGATTTAAATAGTCAACACAGTGGTAATAATACAATGTTAACAAACTTAACTATCAGAAATATGGAACACTGGCAACTTTAATAGCAACTGCATTTTCAATTGCACTTATGGCTTATTAGGATCTGACAAGTTCTGTTATCTGTACGTACGATATCCAATACGAATTAGCTGTTTTGTAGTAACAACTAACATTTGTCATTTTAACGAAGAATACGCATAAATGTGAATATTAATTTTTTTTTAAAAAATATTTTTTGCTAGCTGTTGCTGACTTCGTCCTCGTGGAATTAAAAATATATAGCCTATGTTACTTAGTGATATCGTAGATTTTTAATGGTGCACCAAGTTTTTGAAATCAGCCCATTAGTTTTTGGAGTTATTTCAATATATAAAAAGATCCAAAAATCCAATTTTTTCTACTTCATAATGTTGGCATACGTCATAATGGCGACAAACAAGGAAACTTGGTGAACTGATATCTATAAAGTTGTCTAGAAGACATAAGTACTATCTTAACCAGTACCTTTGTAATAATTTAAATTAAACCCCTAGTGTAGATTTAGGACTTTGAGTAAATTTAAATTATATTCTTCAGGACGAAACCATCCTAACTATAATGAAGTACCTAGACATGCAGTCCCTGAATCGCTGCGCTCAAGTGAATCATCACTTCAATAGACTTGCGTTGGACTCCATTCTGTACCGGTGCATCGATCTACGACCTTATTGGCATTGCGTTAAGTCACAGGTTCGTATATCTCATACGTAATTAATACACGATAGTTTTTTGTTTTTTTTTTTTAATATTTTTTTTTATTTGTGACAGTTTGTAGACAAAGGTAACCTCAAAAGGTGAATTTACACTTAGAATAATGCCAAAAAAAGCCTTTATAAGAAGATAAAAGTTACTCGTTTGCTATCATGCTATCTTTTTTCTTCATTTTTAAAAACAGAGATGGCATGTTTCACAGTTTGTCTTTGTTGTCCAGTATACGTTGACCCATCGCTTCTGAGTCTAGTATGGATTTCTTTACGTGTACGTAATATTTCAGGTTCTAGATATACTGTCGACGCGCTGCAAGTTTCTGCAGAAGTTTGATCTGTCGTGGTGCGGCAGCCATTGTATGATACAGTCTCAGTACGTTACAAAGTAAGTTGTATGGAAACAACGTATTTGCAAATAAAATGGAAAATTTATAAGTGTTGAAATTACGTCTCAAAAAATTGTGGGGATTGAAAGAGGATAAAAGGTCTGGTAAGTAGCCGTTTTAGTTGCTTTTTATTAGTACGAGCTGTTGCCCGCGACTTCGTCCGCGTGTTATTAGAAAACATACGAACTATATAAATTACAAAAAGATACGTATCCCTCGGGAAGCGGACAATTCTCGGGGGTGAAGCTTATCCCATGTGTACTCCAGACTTTGTTTTATATCGGTGCCGAATTTCAAAAAGATATGTTGAACCGTTGCAGAATGATCGAGTAAACATTAAAAAAACTAAATTAATGAATCCCACAGGAACCGTAACTATTCCCGGGATAAAAAGTAGCCTATGTGTTCTTCCCGACTATATTCTAAATCTGTGCCAAATTTCATGGAGATCCGTTCAGCCGTTTAGGCTACAAACGCTAACAATAATCCATCCATCCATCTAAACTATCCATCCATCCATCTAAACTTTCGCATTTATAATATTAGTAAGATTGTTTGTTTTTTATAGATTCTTGAAACAAAACTGCACCGAATTGACACACCTCAGGATGAACTGCTGTGGGTTCGTCGATAATTCTGTGCTGATGTCAATTGCAGATAGTTGCGCTTATTTACAAGGTAAAATTAGACCCTTTTTCCACTATCACAGCTCTAGCGTTAGTATATTTTTAATGTACCATTTTGTATGACGTGTAACAGGTTTAGAAATATCAGTTGCAGAAACAAGCTAGTGGAAACGTAGTTATATTTATCGGTATTCTAATAAACAGATGATATCGTCATTAGGTTAGTTCTGTCGTTCTGTACACAGATAAAGCTTTCAAGTATTAACTGGAAGTGACACATTTATAGACTCCTTTTATCTCTTATGATCTTATCTAGTAATTTAAACTTACGTCATCGGATTTTTACTTAAATATGACCTTGTTTTCTTTCCGAGGTGATTTACAAAATTTTCCCTTCTCAAAAACAGGATAAATTATTATAAATAATGGGTAAATTATGCTCTAAAGATCATCTAAGAATCTCAAAATGGCGGGAACTATAAAAAAATTACCTTTTATTTCACGGTGATTTTTGCAGTAAAATACTGTCTTGTTTTATTAAATGAATTCCTATCACATGTATCACATCTTATAAAGATAGCATGTTATCGTATTGGCATGCGCTGCAGGTATGCAGGGTCGTCAACTCAGTATTTGCTGACATAATTGACTATTTGTCAATCTTACATCAGTCGGTTGGAATATTAACTTTAGAGATGCTCTCATTTGAATATAAATTCACATTTCTTTTATAGAAGTCTATGACCTATCAATATGTTCATATATGTCGATTTGAAATGAATCAAATTGTTTATAGTTCCATTAATTTATGCAAACTGGGACATAATTGAAAATTATAATAGCACTTTAAACACCTCTTGATGGTTTCAATATATACTATTACTGTTTTATTATAACTTGTCCAGTATGCCCTTTTCCACGATTACATTCCTCTAAAGTCTATACGATTCGGTTGACATAAGTCTAACTAAATTATCACAGCTCACAAGCGCCCTGCTGTTTATATCAAAAAGTATCAGAAGATCTTTTTCCTACTGTAATTCAATGGTTAATAATCTTTGAACCTCTTGTACACCCACGAGACTCCATAATAGTAGTGTTTCCAGTCCCAATTTAAATTAAAACCATAAACAATCTACACTGACCATAAACATAAGCCATAAACAAGAAAAAGAATATTTTTTCTTATGCCCTATTTTTACATAACTTCTGACTGAATAACCTTCGACAGCAGCACCTCTCACCGGCTTAGATGCTTGTTTATCGCTCTTTGGGACTATAGTTGTTTCGTTTATAGCTGTTTGTAACATATTTCTCTCTCCTCTCTCCTTCTCTTTCTCAGCTCTTTAGGACTGTAACTGTTTCGTTCATAGCTTGCTGTTTGTAACATATTTCTCTCTTCTCTCCCCGCCTCTCTCTCTCGTTTTCTTCCTCTCCCTCGTTTTCTTTCTCTCTCGCTCTCTCTCTCTCTCTCTCTCTCTCTCTCTCTCTCTCTCTATCTCTCTTATACAGGATGGTATTTTTGCAGAGCTGTGCCTGCGTTCAGTGATATGTTGCTCGGACTGGTCGTGCCTGTCGGCGCTGCGCCAGCTGCGGCGGCTGGACTTGTACCGCACTTCCATCGGTACGGCGGCCGCGGTGGCCGTGGTACGCGCGAACCCGCACCTCAGACACGTTAATCTTGGTACGCGTTTGTATTTATACTTTGTCTTGTCACAAAAGGGTTTAAGGTACGGAATTGTAGAAAAAAGTGGTCGAGATGGACCCTCCGTGGTTCAAATTGGAGAGTCTAAAAGAAAATTTGTTTGGGATGTCTAAGTGTAGAATTAATGAATTGATGAGATGACGGTATAAGTTTTTTTTGTTAAACTTTTTATTTTGAAGGAATAGCTAAATCCGGGTTATTCTATAATGGGGAGGGGGGGGGGGTTACTAACGTGTAATTAAATTAAATTTGCAGTTTTTACTTATGTAACTTAAAGCGCAAGGTTGATATGATAAGTCATGGTAAGTTTGAGAATCGGTTAAATTGAATAAACTTATCTAAATAACTAATAACTATAACTTATCGAAATAGTAAAAAATATAGCCTATGTTATGCAGCGATAACGTAGCTTTTTAATGGTGAAAGAATATTTTAAACCGGCCCAGTAGTTTTTGAGTTTCAATTTCAAAATGTTGAGTTTCAAATTTAAATATGTCAAAAATACGAAAATACAAATCTTTCCTCTTTACAGTAATAGTATAGATATCTGTTTCTTTTACCCGAGTAACTCAGGTTATGTATTTATTTCATGTACGGAGTAGCCTATGAGTTTTTCCAGAATATTCTTTACATCTATGCCAAATTGAATCGAAAACCGTTCAGCCGTTTAGGCTACAATTTAGCAAACATCCATCCATCTAAATTTTGACATTTATAATATTAGTAAGATTTTTGTATTAGGGTCGTGTAAAATGATATCGGTGATGGACGAGGTGGCGCTGGCGCTGGGCGCCACCTGCCCGCAGCTCATCTCCGCCGACTTCTGGAAGTCGTACTCCCTCACTGCGGCCGGCATCGTCGCGCTCGGCAACTGCACCCTGCTGGAGGAGCTGGATGTAGGCTGGTGGTGAGATTACCTGGATTTTATTAAACAAGAGTGTACAGTCTAGTAGGAATAGAAAACTAATAAAGTAATTCTGACTATCGCAATTTTAATAGTGGTAGAGCCCGCTTTAACATCTTCGCACGAATTGGCCGACTCGCTCGGTACAATACCACGACCACATAGAAAACAGGCGTGAAGTGGAAGTAATTACGTGTTTCGTCTGATTGAGTGTGATATCGGAGGCCTAATTTTAATCCCTTTCTACCCTTCTTTTAAGAGGTAAGGATGGGAAGGAAAAGTGGATTTGACGGTGGAGGAGACGCATAGGAAGGGGAAATGTCCTCTTCATGTGCGTCTCCTACGTCAATTAAAGGTAGGCAACGCATCTGCAATTACGGATGTTTATGGGCAGTGGTCGCTTTCCATTTCGGTGGATTAAGGTAGCCGCGTGCTCGTTTGCCACCTATTATAAAAAAAATTCCAGCCTGCAGGCGGGCAACTCCGGCTCGTGGCTGTCGGCGCTGTGCGGCGGCGCGCTGCGCAAGCTGTTCCTGGGCGCGCTGCGCGGCGTCTGCGACCGCGACCTGCGCGCGCTGCTGCCGCGCGCGCCGCGGCTGCGCCAGCTCGACTTGCTCGGAGTCAGAGCTGTCTCGCCCGATATATGCTCACAGTTAGTATACACACATGTATACAAGTAGGCAACTTCCCGTAACTACATAGAATAGGGAACATGCATTTTTTTTTTCACTTGTTATAAAATAACCAGAAAAAAGAGCTAAAAACGATAAAATAACATTACGACCATTTTCGTGCGACTAAAACGCGACCACAGTTGTCAGGAGACACGTGACGTCAATCGTCATGTTTAATGCATTTCATTGATTTAATTCATCACATTCGCTGAGATGTCACTTCGATGTAAAAAACAATAAAGGGTCTCATTGGTTATCAAAAGTCAAAGTTACTTTTGATATCATGTTTACAGTAAAATACTTCAAGAGTAAATTTCAATATAAACTAACGTAAATGAACTGTGTATTGTCAACACAGCGACGCCATATTAGATAAGCCACTTGCTTCGAAAATAGTGTGCGTTTTAGAACATAGCGAGGGATTTTTAAAAATATACTTTTTAATGAATACATTTCGCCACTAAATCACATTATATTAAAAATAAAAGGTTTATTTGCAGGAATGTTTTATAGTAATAAAGTATACTTAAAAAAAGATTGGTACAATTTGGCGTCTTATGCATATTGCCTATTAACAAAACAAAAGTAATTAACCTGTGTTCTTCCAGAATATACATTTCATTGAGATTCGTTCAGCAGTTAAGGCAAACTTATTGATCATGTTATAAAAATACATTTCTCTTCCAGTATTTTGGCGCAATGTCAAGAACTAAGGCTACTAGATGTAAGCTTCTGTGATCAGATATTGGAGTCTCAGGTATTATTTTTAACTAGCTGTTTCCGTGCGGCTTCATTCGCATGAAAATATAAAAACTTTATTTTATTGTTTACATTTGTCAAATTCTTAATCGCAAATGTCTAAATATAAATGACAACGAAGCCCTTAACATTGGATAACAATTACAGTTACCATGGCAACTTTGCTTTCTTGATGTCAGCTTGTAGTTTATGGTCCCTTTCTAACATGAAGGTTTTTTTTCTAATAATCTTTCCCCCCTGAGAAAATATAAAACCTTAAGCGTGTCGTAAGTGTAGGGCTTTTTATTAAATAAAGAATTCAAAAATGTACTGTGATTGCTGACATCCTACGTCACAAAGTAGTGTGTGTTTACGCTTTATTATGTTAGTACTAGCTGTTCCCGTGCGACTTCATCCGCATGTAATTATGAAATTTTTATTTTATTGTTTACATTTGTCAAATTATCAATTACAAATGTCAAAATTATATGACATGATTACAACCTTGCTTCCTTGATGTTGGCAGCTTGTAGTTTATGGTTCCTTCCCCACATTAATGTTTATTTTAAATTTATTTACCCCCTAAGTTTAATAGCGTGAAAATGTATAGCCTAAAGCGTGACGTAAGTGTAGGGCTTTTTAATAAGAAAATAATTATTCAAAAAATATCCTGTTATTGCTGACATCTTAGGCAACAAAGAAGTGTGTGTTTACGCGTTATTATGATAGTATAGATATATAAATTGGTTATATTTTTAATGTTTGAATTTATAATAATTTCCAGGTTATTAAATGGCGGCAGCAATATCCTAATGTTAGTATTAAAAGGTCCTTCCAATCCGCGAACTTGAGCGCGCCGCCCAGCAACATGTTCCTCGCGCCGAGTCTCGAATGACATAACGCGGAACTATGCGATATGCTCGACAACCTCGCCAGTGTGAGGGAGACAGACTACTACGCTGCACTCAGGCGCACGCGTGCGAGGGAGACGGAACATCGACGAGTGTGAACGACACGAGAGCGAGACAACCCTTAAATGCATGATGCATTTATACATCAGTCTTTTTTTTTCTATTTTGAAAAAGCGTTTTTTTTATCCATGTTCAATTTAATACCCGTTTCAATTTATGGTATTTAAAAAATCATGCATGTAAGGGTTAAGATATAGACGACATTTTTTTGAAAAGTAGTATGTTGTAAAATTTAGACTCATGTCCTTGTATAGACATGTTCATATTTTACATAACTGTAATACAAATTAACTGTTTTGTTAAAACTAAACAGTTAATTTGTATTTAATTGAAATACAATTATATAACATGTGGTTTTGAGGATTTATCAATAGATGGCGTTAGTAGATCATGTGAAAAATGTCTCAAGTGAAGTATGAACTATGACTACTCTGTATATATTTTGAATCTCTTTAGAGAGAGACAATCCTATAAATCATAGGTGTGAGAGAGATGACTATACATCTTTCTGCTCAATTTTGGAATCTTACTAAATTTTGGTAGTAATAAGTGTTTTTCCCAGTATTCGATTGATGGAAAGTAAAGTACATAAGTTAGATGTATAAAATAATCACTAAGTTACTTAGAGTGGTTAAAGTAAAGTAACTCTATACTAAGCGACTCTATTACTTGGCTTATTGATAATTAGAGATGTCAATTAATAAAAAAAAATTGGTTTTAAATTTTGATCGACATTTTAAATGTAGTTTCTTTAGACACCAGTTCAAGTACTTAAGTGTATGTATTGTGCAATTTAGCGTATAAATTGTACAATTTTATATAAAACCTCATAGATTTAGTTTGTAGTTGTCGACTTTATTAACATCTATATGTGTACATTATTTAATTACGATGAATGTTATATTATTTTTTCTATCTTAATTTACAAATTATATTATGTTTTATTACGTTATAAGTACACAACTTTAAATATCTCAAGTTAGTTTAAAGTTAAGGAATAAAAACTAAAAAGGTTATATGTAGCTTTTTGGAAATTTCTTATTGTGATAGATACAAAAAAACATTCAATGGAAAGACTGAAATCTAGTATTTTTCGTACATGACTTAAAAAAAGTCAGTTCAAAAAACTTAATATATTTAAAATTTCTTCTTATTTATATTTTTTTGAACAAAATGTTAGTATAATTTTTTTGACAGCTGAATTGTTGTATTCTTTCATTCCAAAACTTTTAATACTATATCTGCTAACTGTACTTAATATATTAAGAATTCTGATACATGTTTTTATGTAAATGTTTTGTCAGTGCAAACGCACTAGTTGTTAGGTTTTTGTGATTTTGTAAAATAGCGCCATCTTTTAGTTGTTTCTGGTTCTACAATATTCGTATATAAGAGAACAAATGTATTGTTACTCTTTGCATACAGAATGAAAGAGATAGAATGATTTATGAATGTAGGCATTTGAATCATTTACATAACAATAGATGGCGCTGTTTTATATTTGTAGTAAAATGTCTTTCTAATACGATTTAAGACTAACAGTGGATTTCTATGACTGTAAGATTTATGTAATAACATGCCATGTCTCTTATTTCCAGTAAAAAAAAAGTTTTGTATAGAGAAATCAACGCTAAGCTTACACTAAATCCTAATTAAGTTTACGCCTAGAATTTAAATGTCAGTCATAGTAATAAGCTATCTCTATAGTGTGTCTAAATAAAATAGATTAGTTTGATAAATGACGCATATGAAGTATCGAATTAAATTTGTATGAAGGCAAATGCCGTTCTTAATAGACAGGTATCGTAGTGACGAAACAAACACGCAGCGAACAATTTGGATTTATCGATATTCGGTTTAAATAATTATCGAACTCGACTAAAATTGTTATTATCTTTTTAACTAATTTATAGGACAATTCTTGTATTGATTATAGTGTAGAGAATTTAGCGATGACAGAAATAATAGCGAAATCCAATTCGATTACTGTTTAATTGAGAATGACGAATAATCCAGGAATTATAAAATTTAATACATGACAACCATTTTTAATAGAAAAGCAAGATGACAAGTATGACATTCGTTACTTCTTTTAAATAAATATTCTTTTTAATCATAAACAATTACGTACGGCTGTAGTATTACAAAAGTCTTGTTCACAGTTACCTCGGGTATGGACACTGCTTAAATAACTTATTAATAGAGTGGTGAAAGCTGACTCGAACTGGTCACAAGTCGGGTTAACATTACGACACCGATGGCTTCTCACCACTCCAAAAAAAAATTCCAGAGGGTCCTGATTGAGGTGTCAGCACCACACTGACGATATGCCAAAATCGACATTTTTTTAACAATATTTGAATGCCATTCAGAGTCCAAACCCAATCGACTACGGTGAGAATATTTTCTTTCTTTCCACCAGAATTTATAAACGTCATAGATTTTAACAATTCTATACCTTCCCCCCAAACTCTATGACGACAGAGTTTGGCGTCACCGGCCCAAGTAAGGGCTTCGCGTGTTTTTTTTTTAAGATGACTACCATTTAGCGAATCAAAAATGTTGTCCATGAACACGATTAAATCGGCTGTGTCCTCACTCCACTTTTAATATAATTTTAGTTCTAATATAGCTTTATAAGCACTTTGCCCAGGCAGCGGTTACACCCAAGTATCCAATCGCTACGGGACTCTACTGCATGGGCCTTGCGTTAAGAATTTATGTTTAATTTGTTCATTATTACTTTTTTATTTTTACTGTTTAATCATGTTTATCCGCTGTGTTGTCATATTGCTTATGCGTACAAAATAAAGATTAAAAAAAAAA